ATTCCATGCAGCAGTAGCAGCATTCCATGCAGCAGTAGCAGCATTTCATGCAGCAGTATCAGCATTCCATGCAGCAGCAGCGGCAGCACTCCATGCAGCAATACCATCATTCAATACAGCAGCAGTCGCTACTGTTGCGCAAAAATCACGGCAGTCATCATCAATGCTGAGAACCTTTAATAAAGAGCAAATCATCGTCATCTCTCCAACGCATACAAATAGAAAATAGACCTAAATATAAAATAAATCTAGAAGAGGCGTGGTCATCACCTTAGTAAAGAACTAAACAAACGACTGTCAGAAGACAAGGCCTGCGCTGTGCGGAGAAAGAGCGGCCTTATCTGCACATAATATCCTGCGCGAGTTGCAGATGTATGCTGCGCACGCTGCGTGTACGTCATGGATACACATGCAGCTGCATACACAGCTTCAGCACTCATGCTGCAGATATATGCAGTCACTGCATACACATTGCTGCAGCTGTATCAATGTTTCAGCTGTAAGTACGCAGCAGCTGTAAGCATGCTGCAGCTGTAATAGTGTTGCAGCTGTACGTGCGCAGCAGTTACAAACATGCTGCCGCACGCATGCTGCAGCTGTAATAGTGTTGCAGCTGTACGTGCGCAGCAGTTACAAACATGCTGCCGCACGCATGCTGCAGCTGTAATAGTGTTGCAGCTGTACGTGCGCAGACGCTACAAGCATGCTGCAGGTGTACGTGCGCAGCAGCTACAAGCATGCTGCAGCTGAAAGAGGTCTGCAGCTGTACATGCAGTGCAGCTGTGTATATCAATATACCATACCCCCTGAAGCTGACGCAGCAACATCACCCAACAACAACACGCAGCAGGTTTGCATCAGCAGAAGGCATGCAGTCGCAGGCTTGTTGACACGCTAGGCATGCTACCACGCTGCACTCACCTGCCACCTGCCAACTATACCGTCTTATGTGTACGTCCTTTCAATATATATAACACACTCAGAGAAATTAGTTAGAATTTTTCCACATTACGATGCCCATTTCAACTGCCGTCTTATATGTACGTCGCTTCATTATATAACACACTAAGAGAAATTAGTTAAAATTTGTCCAAATTACGATGCCCATTTTGCCCTTGCGTGGCTCTTGCTGACCTAGTTTCGCTCGGTAAAATGGTGTATCATGGCTTAGTACTATTTGAAAAAGCAGATCTATCTTTTTATTATTATTGCATGTTCGTTCAAACGCGCGTAAATGAAGCCATTCGGCTTATGTCTGTCATGAACATTTGAGTACGATATCTGATATGCACTTTTTGCGCTCGTGATAATAGAATATTGTAAACGTGTCATCAACATTCAAATAAATAATTTACCCCCCATTACGCTCGTGTTAATGGAATATTTTATAAAACACATAAGTATAGACTATAGATATATACCTACTAATTTCATCTACTTCAGCACAAGATTTCAATAAAAAATTGTGGTAAACATCATCAATCATAATTCTCATGATCTGTTGGCAGCAACTAAGTCGCTACACAAATTCTGATATTCTATTGATACTAAATTAATCCAATACAATTCAGAAAAACAATACAATAACTCGAATACAATTATAAGAATCACAATTCACAATATAGTCATAACAGAAACTATTTTGCAAGTAAGCAAACAAGAGAAAGGAATGTGATAAATACGCGGAAATATAAAAGAATTCTGTCTTCGTTGACAGTGATACTGTTTCATGCGGTTGATGAGGTACGTGCAGGTGATGAATTGATAGCGTGACGAGCTTATCTTTTATCATAAAGGCTTATCACTTGAGCCGCGCTGACAGATCAGTCAATAATACAGGCTTCCATTATTATGTGAATGAAACCATAGATAAAAAATACTACCCAGCGACATCGCAAAGTCATCACCAATAAATATTATATGCTTGCACTTTTAGGATAACAATAAAGCTGCTGAAATATTTTAGACAAGCCAATCCGTGTCACAGTACGTTTGATAAAAAATGTCATTAATTTGCAGCAGAAAGAAATCTTGCTATACAAGCCTCTAGGCCTTACATCTAACTCAACATCTACATGTCTCTTCTACATCAACATCTACCTATCTCTTCTTCACCAACATCAACACACCTCCTCTACATCACATCAACATATACCGTCTACAAGTAAATATATGCAGCATCCTTTATCCATTCATTTACGGGCATCACCCCTGTACTCAAGCGCAACCCATGCATTCACGATTAAGTCATGAATGAATTTACACGACATGTATTTAATTAAATAGATTTTCGATTTACCAACGCCAACAAAAAGAAATTTATTATTCATCAATTTATCGAGAGAAAAACGTGAAATACATCGATAAAACGCCTTCTCCAAACAAACTCATTTACACAAAAGTGCAGTTATATAGCTCCTCACCGCACCCCAAAATGGTGCAGGGCACATCATTGATTGTAACGAGAACAGCTCTGAGAGAAAAAAGCACCGGCATCTGAAATTCAAATAACGTTGATAAAACGTTGTTTCAACGAAATAAAATCCTAATTAATGTTATTTCGACGTAATTTGCTTGGAAGCTTTGCTTTTGCCCGCGTGTATAGGCTGAGGCTAGCAGGTTGAGTACACAATGTCCCGGAGAAAGATTGAGATGCCCAAGCGAGCAATTCGATTGCCGGGTCATTTTTAACCTGCGTACGTAAAGTTATTCAATATTTATATTAATTTGCTGATTATAAGCAACTTTTTGATTCGAATTTATGTAGATGAGATTGTGTTCTTCATATAGTTAAGCTGATTCGATGATAATTTCAACCGTTAACGTTTTGTTACTAAGATTAACGTTACATGACAGGCATGATGGCAAAAACAAAATTTTACACACAACATTTCGAACGAAGAGAGAGAAAAAATTAATGTTTGCATCACTAGAAGCCATGCGTCGTTGCTGGAAAAATGCGGGGTAAAAAATCCCATACAGCGATGTTTTGTAACGGTTCTCATGATCACTAACATGAACGTTAAACATCATTTAGTTGTCTTTTAATTAAAAATTGCACCACCTAATTGAAAATAGTTGTCTTGTAATTGAGGATGGTAATTATATTAACATTAATATAGTCAAAACAATTGTGAATTCAATCCAATGGAACGTTTACATGACATTATTCGATAATTATTCCATAAATATTTAATATTCTGTTCGAAGTATCGCTTTGACGCGATACTTCCATTATATTACATTTATCGGCTCACAAGCCAAATAATTAATAATGATAGTATTCGAGTACCAACGCTTGTTGTTCTTGCTATTTAATGCAGACTTTCATTATATTACATTTATCGGCTCACAAGCCAAATAATAAATAATTGTAGTATTCGAGTACCAACGCTTGTTGTTCTTGCTATTTAATGCAGACTTCCGTTATATTAAATTTATCAGCTCAAAAGCCAAATAATAAATAATTGTAGTATTCGAGTACCAACGCTTGTTGTTCCTGCTATTTAATGCAGACTTCTGTCCTAACTTTCAGTATTTATCCAACATAGGTCGGACCTGTTCGTAAGTTCAGAATTTTTAGTTAATTGTAAATGTATTACTTTTCATTATCATGAGTTGGCAAACATGATTCATTAAATAATAGTTGACAAACATTAGATGACATTTTTCATTGATAAGATCGTTCGAAGTTTCGTCTGCTTTGAAGTAAAAAGAACGTCGTGGAGCAGCTGCAGTAGGAGCCCTCGCCCGGGGCAATGTCGTTTGCCCTCGAATGGAATGTGGCAGAGAAGGGGAGGAGGGTAGGGGGGGCAAGGGGTATGAATGGGTGATTAGCGTAGGGTAGGATGGGGTATGATGGGGGTAAGATGGTGGTAAGGGAGGGTTAGCGTAGGGTAGGATGGGGTATGTTGGTGGTGAGGTGGGGTAAGGGAGGGTTAGGGAGGGGTAGGGTATGGTGGGGTTAAGAAGGGGCAAGGGAGGGTAGGGTGGAGCAAGCTAGGGTAGGGTGTGAGGGCAAATAAGTCAGGTACCTATACAAGAATGAGGCTACGGAAATCAAACAGAACGTACACGTGAAAGCCAGTCATGTGTCAAGGTTCAGTGTAAAGAGTGGCGAAAATCTTGAGGCGATGGCAATTTATTTCCTTAGGCATTGTTTTATCTGCAGCCGAACTCGGTTCAAAATTGTGCTTACCTAAATTAAATATTCCACGACCTTGACTAGATTTATTGATTGGCCATAAATCTTTCATACAATTTTAAACTTGCAACAAAACCGCGCTCATTTTGCCGTGGTGCAGCAATGACATTTAACATTACTGAAAATTCGTAGGAGAGTCATAATAATAATTACTGAAGGCCTGAGGTCTAGAAGATAGACATATCAAAAAAAATTCGAACTCGAAAATCAAGATAAAAATTCCAAATTAAAGTGAAAGGATTAACAATGACGCTAAACTGATTCGAACACTCAGTGAACAACGGTTGTCACTCGGCGAGCACTCCCGACAAGTGACAAGTTACCGAAATGGTCGGACAGTAAAATGGTAATGGTGATCCCAATAAGTATCTTGTTACCTATACAACGTTCCAACACGTTTCACATGTCGGTAAATTCTAAACAAGCCATGCAGCTAAGCCTTTCATTGAGTGATTATAAATAACATAGAAGTATTATTTACAATTTGCCTAAGAAATCATATGTGTACATAGGCTTCGAACTGCAAGCGACACTATACGTATCAAATTCATGCTGGTTTATATTTTGGTGTAGTTTGGCGAAAGTTGTTCTTCAATGCAGGTTTCAATGAAGACCTGAGAGTATTTCTTATTGACAATTTTCTTATTGTTTTTCTCTACTCGGCGAATTAGTCTTTTGATAGGAATCAAAAACTCAAAGTTTATATTTTGGGAAGAACTTAACACATACTTAGTATTTAGTATTAGTATTTCATTATTCATTAGTATCATTTAGTATTAGTATTTCATTAACATACCGAGCTCTTCGACGAGCCGTAGCATGACTCCGCCAATATGCAGGTCGCTCTTTACCCTCAGCACGCGTTCCATCAACAAGTCTGTGATGAACACACGTAGCTCCCAGGACCCATCACCGATAGTGAAGCCTGTGGAGGGCGTGGGTGTGGAGGACCCAGAGATGTTGTTGAACGAGTGGTTCGCGTTTCCGTTGTTGGTGGGGAACATTTTCGAAGAGTTTCAATAACACTACGATGGCAGTACAATTTTACATATATTAAAGGCGCACTGTTAAGAACACTTAGATATCAAAAACATTCACTCAATATAAGCATGGGCCGATTATATAAAGTTCTACACTAATAAGAAATTCAAAGTCACTGAGCACTGTAGAGTAGAGATTCAACTCCTTTCTTTCATCTTTATACAAACCAACTAAAGATTAGTCAGAAATAAAATCTTCTTTCCATTGTATAACTTCAATATATTAATCTAATTTCCATAAAAAATCTGTGGGGAAGAGTCTCTGTATTATAATTTGCATACAATTATACACTGCATACAAGCAGCAGTACCTATGGAAAAAGAAATTTTATTTTCTATCACTAATAATTTATACGGTACCTACCTAATATTATTGTCAAGCACAATTTTTGTATAACGTGTGACAAATTATCAGCCTATGCATTTTCCAAACAATCATGACACACACAGCAAATGATACCCTCAATCATGGCAGGCAAAACTTGGATTACATCAACTTGTCCAGCTTCAATGGGGAAAAAGTTATAAATATGCTAATTAATGTTTGGAACTCAGAACATTAATGTAGCAGGCAACACAAAATTGAGAACTTTAATAATTTAAATTTAAACTCGAAAACATGCATACATCATAGAATAAATGAATTGAAGAATCTTCCCAATGATAATAAAAGTTTAAACATATTGAAGATGATTGTTGTTGTTGTAATTCCCTATCAGAGTATTGGCAACTAAGTAGGGGGGATCATAGGTTAGTTCTTCAGGGCACTCAGGCCACAGGACACAGTCTATGATCATCACCAGCCAACTGCCTAATTTCTCATCTTAAATATGGAGAAAAGCAGGCAAATTTTTGCAAATGATTTTAGAAAATCATCTGTAAATTGATCAATTGTACCCATGATTCTTTGGAAAATTCTGCCTGATTTTCCAGATTGGACTTATGGGAGGTTTGTGCCACATTTTACAGTTTGGCACTAGGGACCAGTGGTGGGAAAATGCTAGCCAAATATCATACATAAGAAATTGGCTTAAATTTTGAGTAGACGAGGAAATTATTAAAAATGAACCGATTATACAAAATCTCTGGCTCATCACTATGATTGCTAGGATATTTCCATTTCCCAATAAAAGTCTAATAGAGTATTATTGCACCTTATGAAAATTAATAGAATTGCAACAATATTACAATAAGTTCATGTTATTACTTAAACCTCCAACAGGCTCTAAGATATGTTGCTTTTGCCCTTTCTATTATACAGTGGTGGGCACAGTTCCGCTAATCCGCTAACCGCTAATTAGCAAAGCTAACTTTTTCCTTTTCGGATTAGCTGTTCAGCTAACTTTGAAAACCTTTAGCGGAACAATTAGCTTCCGCTAAATTTAGTTCCGCTAACTGGAAGTCCGCTAAAAATGTTTAAAAATCTCTGATTTAATGCTAAGTATCGTAAGCCGTGTGCCACGCCCACACCTATACTGCAGTCCTCTGGTGGACGCAATGCTGGCAGGCATCATGAAAAGGTTTGGGCCCCTCCTAGAAGACAAGGAGTGCCAGCTGGCAGCGGCCTTCCACCCTAAGTTTCGCCTGTTCTGGCTGGAAAAGCATAATCACAGCCATCTCAGCAGGGTACAGAAGGCCATGGAGACCGCCATGGAGACAGCTCTGAGGGAGACCGTTGAGGAGGGCAGCAGCACCACCAGCAATGACGAAAATTATTTGATAATTTTTAAGTTAGGAATCATAGGCATATTATTAATAATTATCATAAGCATGATAATATGCATTTGTGGTCAAAGAAAAAAAAAACGGAGCTAATTAAGCTAATTTAAATTTCAAGTGGCACATTAAATGATTAAATAGTCATAACACTTGACACAAGTATGACAATGGATTTAGTTATTTGATAATTTGGTCACAATGACAGATCACAGATGAATGGATAATCATATTTGGAGGAGTGGGGTAGGGTATGGTGGAGTATAAGAAGGGGTAAGGGAGGGTAGGGTAGGGGGGCAAATAAGTCAGATATCCAAGAATGAGGCTACGGAAATCAAACAGAATGTACACGTGATACCCGGTCAATTTATTTCAACCTCATTCCTGCTGTGAGAAGATGATGTATGTAATCACAGAAATCCTAAATTCCTAAGGTGGATTTTAAAAGTCAATATTATAAATTTATCTAGGTACATATTTATTTATATATCCAAAAAAAAACAAAAATTAGTACCATATATTACCTATCATAATCAGGAGTGTATTATTTGATAAAAATCATACTCAAGTAATTGAAAACCTTCATAGAAGGCAAGTTGCTGAAAAAAATCATACATTCCACTCATCACAATCACGGCAATGAGCAATCATCATCATGCAATGTTTGCAAATTGCATGCATTAGACACTAAAAATAAGTTCAAAAATCCCTACTTCTAAAAGACCACACTTCTAAACAGGCCAGTGATTTGAGATTGATTGGACAGGTAGAAGTGGGTTAAATATTGATTATAAGATTTGTAGCTGACAGACAAACAAGAATTGAAGTTAAATAGAAGTGTGATAAGATAAAAGTACCTAGTATTAATTATAATATATAAATATTCCAATCTCAGTGATTACTCTTGTTCGTGATATACATGCGTAAAGAGTCAGTCAAATATTTTTAATTTTGTCTATCTCTTTACTAGTTCTATATACATAGATGAGAGAACTTCTATTAAGTTCTATAATTGTAATGAAGACATGGCATAGAATAGTGTAAATGTGATAAGCGACCTCTCACAGTCAGACTCTCAGTCTCAGTCGTAAAGCGAAATACCAACATCCATAGAATCAAGAACCACCGAATCTAGAAAGTTTTTGTCTTGAAAATTTTTTTGCAGGCGATTGTTCGTTACACAACAAATGTCTAGAAATTTACTTTAAAATACCCATCATATCTTGACAACATTGGCAAACAAAAAAAATGCACAGAAAAATCTCTTCCGTGCAGCGACACACACAACCTTCTACAATCATAGCCAACAGCGCACTGCCTTTCTTCTCAGTCTGAGTCCCTTGCTAGATGGAGCCAAGAGAAAAGGCCAATTTACTAACAAAAAAGGTCAAAATCGACCTTTTTAAAAATTTATATGACAATTTTTAAAGGCAAATTTACATCACAGAAAAGGCAATTTCAAATTAATAAGAAATTTCAAATTAAATGTAGTTCAAACCATTTGAAGTGCACATATTAACATTTACTGTAAAGCTTTCAGACAACAGAAATTACATCAAGTTCACTAAATTTACGTTTTGAATTACCGTCAATGCCACAACGCCACATAAGTTGCCAGCCGAAAACGAATTGCACAATACTCGCCGGTCGTAAATAAAAACCGTATACTAGTAATAACTCATAACTACAATTTCTAGGATTCGATTGCCACCTAACTATAAAGCTTTTCTTCCACGGTATAAAGTCTTGGCTCTGTTTTATTAATCCAATATGTATAGTTTCGTTTGAAAGCCGGTAGAATCGGGTAGATGACCTCACGTATTCGTTGCTCATCTACAAGGAAAAATTAGATAGTATATGACGGTAAAGTTATTAGGAAGTAACCTACCTATAAGTGATTAAGGCGAAGTTTGTGGCATTGACGGTAGAATATGGAACATGAAAATCAATTTATTGCAAGCCCATTTCTGCTGTAGGAAGATGATGTAGTCACAGAAATAATAAGGTGAATTTTAAAATTCTTTATCATAAAATTACCAAATCTAATAAACGCCAAAAAAGTAGTATTTTGCCTAACAAACTTGAAGCGGATTATTTTATATAAATCGAACCCAAGTAATTGAATACCTTCATAGAAGGCAATTTGATGAAAAAAATCATTTATCATGATGACACGTCATCATGACTAACCAAAAAACAATTCTACTTTAAGATAATATTTGCTATTAAATAAATTTCCAGGAGCGCAGAATGGATTAAGAGAAGTCAAAGTGAAATTTTGTGGTGCCTCACGCTAAAAAGCTGAATGTATCTAGAAACAGAGCTATCCTCAGACATCACTGATGAATAATTTTAACACTCATCAGAAGGAAACGCTATACAGTATACTCGACTATATGCGCTATCAGCTTAGCCATCGAGGGTTATTAATACGAGTATGAGTATGCAACTACATATAATCCTATGTTTAGGATTCCTAAACTAGGGCACGTAACATGTAACTCAAAACCTGATGAGAAATGACCAGTATCATCTTTGTCTGCAGAAGCGTATTGGTCTATAGGCGCCTAAGCTATATATATCATAGTTAGTGTTCAATATTCTTCTCAAGTGTTCAGTAGTAGCTCGTCAGGAAGCAGACTGATTGTTAATGTGAATGTTATATAGGGTCCGTCTTATTTATGGCTACGTATGTAATTTGTTACTTCTCAAATGAGATGAACCTGTGCATTATATTTCATTGGACGAGCTAGTAGCCAAGAATTACCCAAACAATTCTCAGACATATTCATTCAATATGACCACCCTTATTTTTAATGACGGCCTAAAATCTACGCGGGAAAGCTTCACAGGAGACACGCAGCATTTCTAGAAGGATCAAGTCCCATTCTCGTGTCAATTTAGACTTCAAACTATCCAAAGAATCATGAGGTGTTCTGCAGACCCTACTCTCTAAAAAAGCCCACACAGAAGAGTCGAGAAGATTCAAATCAGGACTTCTTGAACGAGGGCCATTCAATTTTGCTAATGAATGCTGGGATGTGATCCTGAATCCAGTTTTGGGTCATGTTTGAGCCATGTGATGGGGCAGAGTCTTGTTGAAAAGTCCATGGTGAGCCGTTGCAGTGTTTACGGGCCCAAGGTAACAACACAGCTTCCAATTGTGCTTCATCGCACAATGAAGAAGCAAGTAATTTCCACTGACCATGCATCAGGTCATCAGCGAAGAAACATCAAGCTTAAATGGCTGATTGCAGGTAGTAAGTCTGCCTGATTGGGCGCTAATACCTTCGTCGGTGCTGCGCCGTATCTTAACCAAGTATATAAGTCTGCCTGATTGAGAAAACCATGAACTGGAGCGCAATTTGAGCCTCAGCCAATAGGAAGACTTATTCCGTGACAACACGGACAACATGAATAATTCAGAGCATTTTCCCGTGGTGTGTGTAGAATTCACAGGCCAGTGAACACCTATTCTTCTTCATCTCATTGTAATGTAGCAAGCGACTTCATCAGAATGAACTTCAG